GAAAAATACGCCAACTTTTTTTATCTAAAACATTTTTCTCTGTCTTGTCTCATTTCAATACAAATCAATCAACCCAGCTGGGAGGCACAAAATCGAGCGTCCGGTGGCTTTTTTAGCATCCGATGCTGGCATCCCTAGGATAATTGCCCCCATTTGATTTAATGCCCCGCTAGCGTCCCGGACGCTGGCGTCCGGGATGCTGGCGTCCGAGAGGCTAGCGTCCCACCTCGACCCGAAAAATGACGCGATTTGTGTTGGAATGCTAGCTTCTCGCACTGCCATTTAATTTCAATGTTTAGTCACTTTTTGTTTAGATCTATTTAAACAACATTATGTTTAACGAGTACCAAGGTTTGATGTTTTAAGGGGGCTAATAAAGTGTGCTTTTAGTAAAATACTGTATTATTAGCTTCGTATAAAACAAATTGGCCAAGTATAATCAAAATATATCCATACACAAGCAAATTCCAACACTTAATAACATTTTCTATAAGAATAACATGGCAATTTTTAATATTCTTTTTTTAAATTTTCTCCATAACTAATAACAGTACAAAAACACTTAAATATATACACTAAATTGTTTGTTTTAAGCTCATTAAAATTGTCCAGAGAGAAATTGAGAATTTTTCAGTTTTATGGGTCAAAAATGACAGACTCCCTTTTTAAGCACACAAAACCCCGTTCCCCAGGCTTTTCATGCTGGTTCGCGATCTCATTCAAGTTTATCCCACCCTTCACCTTAAAACGAAATTTCTTCAAAATAGGACAAAAGTTACTCCAGTTATCGCGTTTACAGACATAATATTTAAATCTATACGAACGGATGGTGTTTTTGGCCTCTGGGGACATCAAAATGAAAATGTAAATCGGTCCCGGGCCTAGGTCTTACCATGCCACCTACGGCAATAGCTTCGAGCGTCCGGTGGCTTTTTTTAGCATCCGACGCCTAGCATCCATAGTATAATCGCCCCCATTTGATTTAATGCCCCGCTAGCGTCCCGGACGCTGGCCTCTCGGACGCCAGCGTCCTAGTATAATCCTAGCCTTCAACCCGTACATCTAAAGACTAGTGTAAATTTAGCCCTTATTAGAGAAGTAAAACGTAATCAAACAGATTAGGTTTGATAGAAATAGCAAGGCACAACAAATAATATCGAATAACTCATTTATCTTAAATTTACATCTCACTTTTTAATTGCTTGTTTAACATACGTAGAGTGATTTTCCCGATTGTTTTATTTGTTTTGGTGTATCAAAACATAAAACCAACCTTAGTACTAGTACTAAGTTTCAAGTTCCTAGGTTTCATATGTTTTGATAAGTAGTTTTAAACTGTTAAAAATGACGAGCTGCTGTACCAGTGTACCATCGGTACACTGCATTTTTCAATGGACATTATCGGGGAATATCACTGCTCTAAGTAATTTTATATAGTAAGTAGTTCAAATCATTCAGTATACCTGAAAAAATACTTTATAAAAGTTTTAAAATAATTTTTCAGCTGTTCCTAAGAATCTATATATAAAGCCAAAAGTACCCATGAACTTTTGAGAAAACTACAAGTCACACCCCCATAAACCATATACTTAAAATGTTCGTCATGACGAGAAACCTTGCGCAAAATTGTCCATTATTTCGTAAATTGCCCTATAAGGTCGTAATTGCTTTCCAAAGGGAACTTTCCATTTACCTAAAGTTAAAAATACCACAGCTGTTATTATTTGTTTGTATTACCATTACTGTATTCTGTTTTGTTTATTTCATCGTAACTTAACCAATCAATAGTTTTATTAATACTAATGTAGTACAACAGGGTGGAGCCCGTGGGTAACAGCTAGTTTCTCTAACATTTAAATTGATTGAGATTTAATCGCAGCTGGTCCTTCTTTTGTTTTGATTTTATTCCCATGTTATTTAAATGGGCCAAAATCGTACTATGAGGGCTTGCCAAGAGTTTATGGGTCAATGCACCGACTTGAGACCCTCAAAAGGCACATCTACACGTTAAGGGCTTTCAAACAACATAAAGAACATTAAAATTGAGCCAGTGGTTTGGGCTGTAGGTCCGTCAACATTCAAGGAGAAGGAGGAGAAGGAGAAGGAGAACACGGAAAATTTGCGAATTTTCAAACTAGTTTTTCTTGGCTCAAACACAACCGTTTTTTAAAATCTTTTTTTTATTTTGTTGAGAATGAGTGCCCCTATCCAGTAAATAAATAATTATTTTAATAGCTTTTGTTTCTTCAGAGCTATAGACGAGTAAAAAAGCCACTTTGTCACGTCATGTATATATACACTGCAGCAGCTGTGTACCGCTGAGGGACTTGGTGGGGCGGAACGCTGCCGCGTTCCTTAATTATCTGTAATCAGATGTTTTATCTTTACTTTGAAATGCTTGTGTTATATTTCTAGAATATCTCGGAACCAGAACTTGTACCTCTTTACCTCTGCTCTTCAAACTGTCAAATTTAAGTTTTTACAGCTGACTTAAATTAATTGATTTATTTACATTCTGCCCAAGGGAAATATGAAAATTAAGTTGTATAATATTGCATTGTCATCCATTTGTGAGCTATGTTTCAAGTTTCAAGTCTCTAGCTCATCGGGAACTTTGTTTAAAATTGATATCAAAATTTGTAGGAAATCGAGCTAATGAAAACAAGCCCATGGGGCGTAGCCCAAAGGAAATATAAAATTAAATGATATAATATTGCATTGTAATCCATTTGTGAGCTATGTTTCAAGTTTCAAGTCTCTAGCTCATCGGGAAGTATCAAAATTTGCAATAAAGCGAGTAAATAAAAACAAGCCCATGGGGCGTAGCCCAAGGGAAATATGAAAATTAAATGATATTATATTGCATTGTTTTCCATTTGTGAGCTATGTTTCAAGTTTCAAGTCTCCAGCTCATCAGGAAGTTAGTATAAAATTGATTGCAATGTTTGTACCGGACAAGAAAGCGAGCTAATAAAAACGTTTTAAAATAAAATAAAAAAATAAAACAACTTTGAACAATACATACAGCTGATTCAAATCATTAAATTAAACCATAACAAAACACTAGCGCGCGTAGTGAATAAATAGAGAACTAATTGAGAGCGAGGGAAAGTAAATTTAGAGCGAGGGAAAATCAGCTGATCGATTTTCCCTCGCCCTAAATTAGAGCTTGGGAAACGACTACATACTTTCATTGATGTCAGCTGTTATCGAAAGTAGTTACTTTCGTTACGGAGTGATGGAAAAATAATTTTCATAAGCTTTCTCTTTTGAAGATTTGTGGAGCTTCGGTTCGTATACAGATTATAGAATTTTACTTATTGTATCCTATAATAAACATTGAGATATAGATTACTAGCTGTACCCGCGGGCTTTGCCTCGTTTTACTTCATAAGTGAGCTCGTTCGCATGGCTCAATCACGTCCTGGTTGAAGTTCGTTCGCTACGCTCACTCACCTTTAGAATGGAGCTCGTTCGCTGCGGTCACTTGCCTTCAGGTTAGCTCGTTCGCTACGCTAACTCGCCTCCAGGTTGAAGTTTGTTCGCTACGCTCACTCAGCTGTACCCGCGGGCTTTGCCCCATTTTACTTAATAAGTGAGCTCGTTTGCATGGCTCAATCACGTCCTGGTTGAAGTTCGTTCGCTACGCTAACTCGCCTCCAGGATGAAGTTCGTTCGCTACGCTCACTCACCTTTTGGTTGGAAATTAGCTGTTGTCATAGATAAAAAAAAAAATAATAGTGCTGCACCCTGTTGGTAATCCTTGTAAGTTTTTAATGTTTTTGCATATCATAGAATCAACTTTTTAGTTGAAACAGCTGACTAAATTATTTAATTCCCTTTTTAAACTAGGTGGCGTTCGCAGAGGCATCCACAAAATTGAGCGGAGTCATCAAGGGTTCATATTATATTGTTTTTGCCATACTGCAGTAAAAACAGTCGTTTTTAATGCATGCGTTGCAGGTATCTAAGTAGCTCTTTTAATCATAAGGGAGTAAAAATCAATTTTAGCCTCTGTAAAAAGATGAAGATATTAAACAGAAGAAATTGATTATGAACCTTTATTTGGTATGAAAAACAATGAACTGAGATGTTTACAAATATTGTAAACGAACATATGTTAAATACAATTCTTTTAACATTCTCCCGCACCAAAAGAAAAAGAGAGCATCAGCTTGCAGATGATATTGGTAGACGGCACAACTTTACAATCGGTCTTTTTAATATCCCAGTAGCGGTTTGAAGTGTCACAACTCGAGTTATCTTGTCTTGTCCGGGGTGAACGCCAATCACTCTAGCCAAAGGCCACTTTGATGGGGGATATTTTTCATCGATAATGAGAACAATTGATCCGATTTCCACCGGTGTTGATGGAGATCTCCATTTGTACATTGTTTGCATTTTTTGTAGGTACTCTTTGGACCATCTTTTCCAAAAGCTTTGTTTCATTTGTTGCAATAACTGCCACCGTGATAGTCGATTTTGTGGCACTCCTTTTAGATCTGGTTCTGGAACAGCAGATAAAGCACCACCAACCAGAAAATGAGCTGGTGTTAACGTTGTTAAGTCATCTGGATCTTCAGTCAATTTGCACAATGGTCTTGAATTTAATACTCCTTCTATCTGGATGAGAACTGTAAGAAACTCTTCATACGTTAATATGTGGTCACCTGCAACTCTCTTTAGATGATATTTAACAGACTTCACTCCAGCTTCCCAGTGACCACCAAAGTGAGGAGCAGAAGGAGGGTTAAATTTCCATAGGGTTCCGTCCTTAGATGACAGATCTCTTAATTTGTTTGATTCTGATGTTGAAGCTGTGAAAAGGCGGTTTAGTTCACTGTCTGAACCGACAAATGTTGTTCCACAATCACTAGTGATAGTTGCACATATCCCTCGACGAGCAGTAAATCTTTCATATGCAGCGATAAAAGCTTCTGAGGAATAATCTGTGACTAGTTCAAGATGAATTGCTGAAGAGGAAGAACATATGAACAATACTATGTATCCTTTGTATGTTTTCGCTGCTCTTCCATGCCAAGTTTTAATAATGATAGGTCCAGCATAATCAACTCCTGAATGTAGAAATGGACGTGAAGGGGTGACTCTTGATGGGGCAACTGTCCCATGAGCTGTTGAGCTTGTTCACTTCTATATCTAGCACAAATAACACAGCGTGATAATTCTTTCTTTACAGTTGGACGGCCTCCAAGAATCCAAAAGCGCTGTCTTACTTTTGATAGAGTGTTGGTAGTTCCACTGTGAAGTGTGCGAATATGAGCATCGTTGATGATTAGTTTTGATAAGAGGGAATCTTTTGGGAGAATGAAAGGATGTTTTGTATCATACTCAATAGATGCATTTTGAAGCCTTCCGCCAACTCTGATGAGTTTGTCATGATCAAAAAATGGATTGAAGTTGTAAAGTTTACTGGACTGATGTACAGGCTTGTTCATTTTTAGCAGTTTAAATTCTTCTATGAACGCTTGGTTTTGGAAAAACCCTGTCCAGAATAAGAGAGAATCATTCAACTCTTTTGGAGTTAAGTATGGAGTATACGCAGTATCATGATTCCCTTTGAGACGATTTATAAACCGTTTACACCATGATGTAATACGCAATAGTTTATTAAGATCAGAGTAGCGACTCAGTAACTCAGGTTCAGAGTATGAACAAACTACATTTGAGGACTTCTGCCGATTAAGTTCAGATACTGCTTCCTTAGCAGGTTCATGAGAAGTTGTAGGCCATTTTGTAGAGTCTTCTGCAAGCCAAGAGGGACCTGACCACCATAACGTATGTGTTTTGAGGGCTTTAGGGCATAATCCACGAGAAGCACAGTCAGCTGGATTATCTTTGCCGGGAACGAATCTCCATTGAGCTGATGGTTCTAGTTCCTGAATAGTAGTAACTCTATTACAAACAAAGTCTTTCCACTTAAATGGTTGATTTTGGATCCACGTGAGAGCCACACGAGAATCTGTCCATAACCACAATGGTGCAGATTCAATACTTAACACTTTTTTGACATAGTGGGCAAGACGTACCAACAATAGTGCTGCTGTCAGCTCCAGTCTGGGGATGCTCATTCTTTTAAGTGGAGCAACTTTAGTTTTTGAACAAACTATGTTTGTTACATTTTGTGAACAAGAAATCACTTTGATGTACATAACAGCGGCCATTGCAAATTGTGATGCATCTGAAAAACCATGGAGCTCGATCCTCTTTGACTTTGTAGCTCCTAAGAATCTGGGAATTGATATTTTAGGTAGGTTGATTTTCAAATATTTGCCATTGTTTCAATTAGGACGGGGGAAGAATTTCATCCCAGTTTAGATTCATGAGCCATAGCTGTTGCATAAATATTTTAGCTTTAAGAACTACAGGTGTTCCATTGTCCTTAAAGCTAAAAATGGAGCACATGATAATCCATATGTTACAGTTTTCAGTTGATAGGTACAAAGTTGTTCCTCTTCATACCAAAGGATTCGTTGTAAATCCCAGTCATCAGGATGTACGGCTATTTGTCGATACATTTTTTCAATGTCAGATGAGAATACACATTTGAACTGTCTAAACCATATTAGGACGTTGTGATAATATTTTTATGCATATGAACTGTTATTATTCTTTATTTAATTTATGTATTTCTTTATTGTCTCACAGTTGTTCTTTGTTTACTATTTACATTTTGTATTTGTATGTTACAAATCTTACTTGACTTCAGAGTTTATTAAAACCTATCCTTAGGTCAATTTATAATGAGTTTTATTTGCACTTCAATTTAATAAACTCTTTTCACAAGTCATGGACAAACTCCTCAAGCCTGACCGATTTGATGTAGAGCCAGAAAGTGATGGTGCAGAAGAACAATGGCTGCATTGGTACCAGACTTTTACTAACTTCCTAGAGGAATGTGACTCTAATGCAACAAATGAAAAGGTAAAATTACGTTTACTTGTTAATCACATTAGTCCATCTGTCTACAAATACATCTCTGGAGCTACAAAATTTGATGAAGCTATAGCTATTTTGAAAGAACTCTATATCCGTCCTAAGAATGAGATTTATTCCAGACATCTTCTAGCAACTCATTTTCAGAAGTCAGGGGAATCAGTCGACCAATATTTACAAGCTTTGAAAGATTTAAGTAAACCTAGTAATTTTTCCCAAGTTTCTGCTGAACAAAATAAAAATGACTATATTCGTGATGCATTTATCAGAGGTTTGATTTCCCCAGTTATCCGACAAAGACTTCTAGAAAATAAAACATTAACTTTGAATGAGGCTTTTGAGAAAGCTAGAGTTTTTGAATTAGCTCAGTATCAATCAGAATCTTACAACAAGCAACATTCTCAATTAAATTGCATGCAACATTCTACTACTTCAGAACCAGAATCTGTCAAAAGTAACATGTCCTCAAATAATGCAGAGGAAACTTGTTTATCAGCCACTTCCTGGAAATGTTATTTCTGTGGTTCCAGTAAAAAACATACTAGAAGTGAATGTCCTGCTGCAAATCATATTTGTCATTCTTGTGGCAAGAAAGGACATTTCATGAAGGTTTGTAAGTCAGGAAGTAATTCATTACCTCCTCCAAAACTTGACTCTAAAAAAACTTTCAGCAAAAATCCAGCTACATGTGCAGCTGCACCTAAATCTTTATCTAAGTCTACCATTACGATTGAAGTAAATGGGATTAAAACTGATGCCTTAGTTGATACTGGTAGTTCGGAAACATTTATTAGTAAATCTCTAGTAGAAAAGAGGGGAATAACAATCTTTCCAACCACCGTTAGTGTCACTATGGCTTCTACTTCTTATCAACCAGTTACAGCTGGCTACAGTCTTGTTGATTTGACGATCCAAGGTCATAATTACATCAAAACTAAACTCCTTGTTTTAGACAGCTTATGCGCTGATGTTGTCTTAGGACATGACATTTTCAAGGAACACTCAAGCGTTGAAGTTTCACTTGGGGGTAAGAAACCTACGCTGAAGGTGTGCGGACTTACAGCAGCAAAGGTTGTACCCGTCCACTTGTCTTCAAACTTAACTCTTGACTGTAGACCTATTGCAGTTAAATCACGACGTTATTCAGAAGAAGATTCGAAATTCATAAAAGAAGAAACTGAACGCTTATTGAAAGAGGGTATCATTGAACCAAGCACTTCACCTTGGAGAGCACAAGTACTTGTAGTTAAAGGTGAAACAAAAAAGAAGCGAATGTGCATTGATTAATTCCCAAAACAATAAATCGATTCACTCAACTTGACGCCTACCCACTTCCGAGAGTTGAAGATGTCGTTAACAAAGTTTCAAAGTTCAGTGTTTTTAGCACTATTTGACCTTAAGAGTGCTTACCATCAAATACAAATTGGAAATGAAGAGCGAATATATACAGCATTTGAAGCCTGTGGACGCCTTTACCGATTTTGCAGAATTCCTTTTGGTGTTACGAATGGCACCTCCTGTTTCCAAAGAGAAATTGATTCGATCATACAAAAAGGACTTGAATGTACTGTAGCTTACCTGGACGATGTGACAGTTGGAGGGAGGAATAAAGATGAACATGATACAAATTTGAACAAGTTTTTTGATGTAGCCAAGAAGTACAACTTAACTCTGAACATGGAAAAATGCTCTTTTGCACAAGACAAAATCCATCTGTTAGGATATGTAATAACAAAGAACGAAATCCGTCCTGATCCAGACCGTCTTCAGCCGCTCTTGAAACTACCACTTCCTCATGATGTCCAATCATTGCGTCGAACCATGGGCATGTTCGCTCATTATTCTGACTTTATTAAGGGGTTTTCAGAGAAGATTCAGCCCCTTTCATCGACTAAAATTTTTCCATTATCAGAAGAAGCAATTAACTCCTTCAATGAATTGAAAAATGAAATAGTAAGTGCAACTAAAGCCCCAATCCAAAATGACATACCATTTACAGTTGAGACCGATGCATCTGAGTTTGCAATCGGCTCAACCTTGTCACAAGCAGGACGTCCAGTAGCTTTTTATTCAAAAACATTATCAAAATCTGAAAAGAACCATTCTTCTATTGAAAAAGAAGCTCAAGCAATCGTAGAATCTCTAAAGAAGTGGAGACACTATCTTATTGGCCGCCCATTCCTACTCATTACAGACCAAAGATCAGTTTCTTTCATGTTTGACAATAAAAGATTTAGAAAAATAAAGAATGAAAAGATACAGCGTTGGCGTTTAGAACTGTCTTGTTTCAAGTATGATATAGTATATCGACCAGGCAAGGAAAATGGAGTTGCAGACACCATGTCACGATTGTGTGGAACGATTTGTGGTCGTCCAAACTTAAATGATATCCACACGAGTCTGTGTCACCCTGGAGTGAAAAGATTCTACCACTGGATTAGATCGAAAAACTTACCTTTTTCACTGGAAGAAGTTTGTCGTACGACAGCTCAATGTCGAATTTGTGCTGAACTTAAGCCTAGGTTTTGTAAATATGAAGGTACGTTAATCAAAGCTACAGCACCTTTTGAGCGACTGAACTTGGACTTTAAAGGACCAATTCCAAGTGCTACACAAAATAAATACATATTAACTGTTGTAGACGAGTATTCACGATATCCATTTGCTTTCCCCTGTAGAGACATGACTTCCAGTACCGTGATTGAGAAACTGAAAGAAATTTTTACAATTTTTGGTATGCCTTCATTCATTCATTCAGACCGAGGAACGTCATTAATGTCAGACGAATTAAAGTCTTTCTTACAAACTCATGGTGTTGCGTCAAGCCACTCTTCTGCTTATAATCCTAGAGGGAATGGCCAAGTAGAGAGATTCAATGGTACTATATGGAAGACTGTTATGCTTGCTCTCAGAACCCAAGACCTACCCGTAAAGTATTGGGAATCAGTTCTTCCTGAAGCACTTCATTCAATAAGATCATTATTATGTACATCAACCAATACAACACCTCATGAACTGATGTTAAAGCACCCCAGAAGATCGTATTATCGAGGTTCACTTCCAAGCTGGCTGTCACAACCCGGCCCAGTGCTGTTGAGAAAGCACAACAGATCCAGCAAGTATGACTCGCTTGTAGAAGAGGTAGAACTTATTCAAGCAAATCCAGGTTATGCTCATGTGAAACTCCCAAATGGACAAGAGAAGACAGTATCCATAAGAGATCTGGCCCCAGCACCTGGACAATCATCTTTAGAAACAGACTACCAATTGCCAGAAACAGATGGAAATGAACAAGTTATTCAAGAACCGGAGGTTTCATTTGATCAAGAACAAGAGGAAAATGATTCTAGTGGGACATTAAGTGACACGAATGTACCAGTTGAACATGCAAACAGTTCTTGCAAAGACTCAAGTTCAGTGCCTTCCAAAACGCATCCACAGCGTGTACGGCAAAGACCTTACTATCTAAAAGACTACGTCTCGTTTTAGGGTGGGAAGAATGTGATAATATTTTTATACATATGAACTGTTATTATTCCTTATTTAATTCATGAATTTATTTATTGTCTCACAGTTGTTCTTTGTTTACTATTTACATTTTGTATTTGTATGTTACAAATCTTACTTGACTTCAGAGTTTATTAAAACCTATCCTTAGGTCAATTAATAATGAGTTTTATTTGCACTTCAGAAACTATGAATAAAATACGTTCAAAGGCATCTGGTATATCGATGGCATATCAATTAATATGTTAAAAGGTGTTAGCCCTTATTGTCTCTCAGCAATAACTCATCTGATTAATGTGTTACTAGAAACTGGAGTTTTCCCTGATTGTTGGAAGCAAAGCATTGTGATTCCACTCCCAAAGTGCTCTAATCCAACTACGAGCAGCCACTTCCGCCCAATATCAATTCTGCCTGCCTGTACGAAAATCTTAGAGAAAATTGTTGTGGAACAGTTGGTAAGTTACCTGGAGGAGTCGGACATACTTTTAGAATTACAGTCGGGTTTCCGTAGAGGGTTCAGCACCTGCACTGCTCTTCTCAATAATATGACTGATGAGCTTCTTCAGGCCAAGGACCAAGGGTTGCACAGCTTTATGGCGTCACTTGATTATTCAAATGCTTTCGACTCTGTTCATCACGACATGCTCATATCAAAGCTCCGGTTTCTAAAATTCCACGAGAGTACACTCAAATGGTTTTCCTCATATCTTTGCCACCGATCCCAGGTGACTAAGGTGAATGGTAGGTTTTTTTTTTTTTTTTTTTTTTTTTTTAATAGAGGGCCAGGCTTACAAGTTACCATGGGATTGCATCGCAGCTAGAACAGCTTATTGTGCACCCTCGTTCACAGATCCTCATTCTCCGTCAAATCCCAGGTCTTTGGTGAACCGTGAGAGCCTTTTGACTATGGTGACCTGTTTTTCCCTTTGATCTCCCATCAATAGGCCAAGGGATCTCATACGCAGACCTTGTAGGGCTGGACACATAAATATACCTTCACAGCTTTCACAAGGTCTCTGGCTGGGGCAAGCGAGATTTCCCCGAAAGGACTCAGCTCCTGAACTTGCTTGACCAGCCAATCCTTTGTGGCTGCGTCAGCACAGCCTCCACCTTTCTTCCTGGAGGCTTCATTAGAGTCAGCTTTGGGGTACCACCCTTGCCCTGCTTTTTCCCAGCATCCTAGTTCCCAGAGGAACTGGCTTTGCAGGCAGCAGAGTTAGGGTGCTTGGCAGCCCACACCAGCCTCCTCTCACTTCTGGATAGCACCTTTTCACCTTTGGCTAAAGCATCCGCTATCCTCCGTCTTTGCAACTCACCCCTGGAAAGTCGTTTTTCGTACGAGGGATCTCATACGCAGACCTTGTAGGGCTGGGTACATAAATATACCTTCACAGCTTTCACAAGGCCTCTGGCTGGGGCAAGCCGTAGCGAGATTTTCCTGAAAGGACTCAGCTCCTGAACTTGCTTGACCAGCCAATCCTTTGTGGCTGCGTTAGCACAGCCTCCACCTTTCTTCCTGGAGGCTTCATTAGAGTCAGTTTTGGGGGTACCACCCTTGCTCTGTTTTTTCCCAGCATCCTAGCTCCCGGAGGAACTGGCTTTGCAGGCAGCAGAGTTAGGGTGCTTGGCAGCCCACACCAGCCTCCTCTCACTTCTGGATAGCACCTTTTCGCCTTTGGCTTAAGCATCAGCTATCCTCCATCTTTGCAACTCGCCCCTGGAAAGTCGTTTTTCGTTCCTTTCCGGTTTCTGCGTGCTTGTCGTCATCGTCAGATTTCAGTAGACCTTCCTCCTCCATTTGGGTCAGATTGTCTACATTGTTCTCACGAATACCGGGTATTTAAGTCCACCTCCCCAGTGACCCGATTAGAGAGGTAAGGGGTGCGTACGACTGGGTTACCCCTGGTTCCCAGAGGGCTCCGTTAAGACACTGAATATTAGGCCCCCAGTGCCACAAGACTCTTGGCACGGATCGCATTACACCTTAGTCTAGGGCCCCCCTCACTTGGTTCTGTAGGTGGACCAACACCCAGTGGCAGAAGGTAGCTCTCCGCAGCTAACAAGTGAGAGTTGGGGTTTAGGTTGTGGCCAATCTGCCGAACCAACCCCGCATGCGAGGTTTGGCCGGAACGGCGCGAAATTTTCTCCCACTCACTAAACCCCCATACCTTCCTGAATGGTAGGTGCTCTGAGTTGATTCAAAGAGAGGTAGGGGTCCCTCAGGGAACTTGTCTGGGTCCAATACTTTTCATATTGTATACCCATGACCTTGATAGCATTCTGAAATTCTCTACTTTACATTCCTACGCTGATGATTGTCAACTATTTCTTTCCCACGCCCCTTTTGATTTTCATGAAGCAGTCAATCTCATCAACACTTTTTTTCGTGCTCAAGCTTGCTTTCTTCGTGTAGGCTCTCTAAATGGTTAATCATTGCTGATTTACTCATCATGTACGCTTCTTGTCCAATACTATAATGATCTTCAATGATGTACATGCTGTCCTTCAGAACTTCTGGTTTTGACTCATATATCCTTTCATGATCACGTTCAAATTTCATCCATGTTGATTCCAAAACTTCCAGTCTTGTCTTAACTTCTGATTTATTCAAAGATGTAGAATCTGCATTGTTTTTCATACCAAATAAAGGTTCATAATCAATTTCTTCTGTTTAATATCTTCATCTTTTTACAGCCTCTATGAAGTAAAAATCAGCTGTTGTCAACTCAGTTGTAAATTTCGATTGTAAACGATTGCATGTATCGAAAATATGCAGGGGCGGACTGGGTACTCTATTAGGGCGTAAACCTTGACCAGCCCGAAGGCGCCAACCGGGGGGTCTGGGGGGTATGGAATACCCCCCTGGAAAGAGGGGGGTCCGGGGGTCCTCCCCCGGGAAATTAAAAAAAAATTATACCTGTAAACTCGCATTTTTAGGCAATCTAGAGGCATTAACAGTGGAAAATCAGAAATCTGATAACTGACACTATTGGTCAATGTTTGGTTTACAAAATTTAGACTATTTACCCACACGACTTGGTGCTATTCTGACAGTAAATATCCTAACAAAAATAAAAATACAAATGATTTTCTTAGGTTCTTTCGTATTATATTTGTGTATTTTCTTTATTTTTCCCTTGCATGACTTGGCTGCATGCATACAATATAAATCATTTGCTTCCTGTTTACAACCTGAACTTGCAACTGTTGTATTTTTTGGCACTGTAAATAACAGAAGTTATATATTTTAGATTTCTATGAAATTATTTTAACACAAACAATATGCTTTCACTGTGAACAAAACCAATTTATTGACTTAAACTTTTTTAGCATTACATTAAGTCAAAACTGTAACCCTAAAGTAGGCCTACCTAACCTATTTCTACAAACGAAATAGCCTAGAGAGAACTACGAAGGTATTTTGAGCTGGCTATCTGTAAGTAAAATAGGAAAGTTGACCAAATTAGTGCCATAGTGCATATTGAAATAATTAATTAATAGGCGGTAGCCACATACGGTATTAAAATCATGTTTACTGTTTAACCTTTACTGTGTAATGGTTAAGTCAACAAATGCACTGTCACTAAATCTAATTTAAATTTTGTAAAAGTAGTGATTCTACAATACTGCTTTCGTTCATGTTTCCTGTGTAGGTAAATAATATAAAAATAAATTGAAGCTTTCGACACAGAGACACAAATCAGACACTCACTAAAGAGAGACACATTTTAATTGGCAGCTCACACTCTTTATTTATTTATTACATGCACGGCAAACGCCATTTTACAAGAGAGTTAAGTTGACATTGATAAAAATTAAATGTGACTTAAACTGAAATAGTTATAGTGTGAGCAATAATTAAATATTATAACAAATATCAATAATATTAAATTATCTTCACTAGTTGTTTACCACAGACGACATCGTGACACCGACCGATGCCGGATGCAGTCGCAGTGCAGTTTTTTTCGGGTTCGGCGTAAAATGACGCGGGAAGAGGACAGCTGTTTTTAAGTACCTCAACCTCAGACCACAGAGTTAAAGTGCCTTCCACTCGGAGTAGGCCTACACGTACGAGAGAGAAGAGCTGCTTTGCTCTCGCTTGTCGACAGTGTCTATTCAGGTCTCACACCCGACTTTATGTTTTGCTATTCACTGCTGAAACTTTTACTCTAAGTTTTCCTCTTGATTTCTAAAAACACATCTCGACTCATTTTTTTAAAATTTTTTATGAATTTTTCCTTTAACGAGGGCGCAAATATTGGAATGTTGAGAAGGCGTATCGGCCCACTGGCCGGTGGGCCGGCGGGCCAGTCCGCCCCTGAAAATATGTATCGATTCGTGCTTCGTAATCATTTCAACATACAGTCTACAGTCTCTTCCCGTAGCATTTTAGCATTGCAGATATATTAATCCATTCCCACACTCAATACTGCTCACCTTTACTACTTCCTTCACCACTTCCTACGTCGTGGACCTGTTTCCCTCTCTTACCATGACATTTTAGGATTGCAGATACTTGAATGTAATTGCCAAAGACAGTTCCCACACTCTGCACTGCTAGCCTTACTACTTCCTTCACCGTTTCCTACGTCATAGACCCGTTTCCTTCCTTTCTCATAGCATTTAAGTATTACAGAAACATTTATCTAACGTCCCAAACGGTTCCCCCACTCTGCACTGCCAGCCTTACTTCCATCACCACTTCATACGTCGTGGGGCCTGTTTCCTTCCCTTCTCAAAGCATTTTAGGATTGAAGATAAATTAATTTAACTGCCACAGACGGATCTCACACTATAATCATACTTAAATACTTCCTAATATAAATACTTCCTATAAATAATTCCTTTAATACTTCCTAAGCCACTTCCTACGTCATGGACCTGTATTCATCACTTTCCATAGCATTTTAGTATTTTTGATAGCTTAATCTAATTGCCACAAACATTCCCACACTCCGTACGGCTAGCCTTCACTACTT